GGTGATTTCTTGCTTTCTGTCTCTATGTCTCTCTCTGTCTGTCTGGTGAGCGCACACGCCCTACAGTGAAAATCTCTCAAAAAAAAAAAAAAAAGAAAAAGAAGGGGCCAGCAAGTATTCTGGTGGTCAGGATGCTAGACTCCCACTTGGCAGACCGCTGTTCAAGTCCTGGACCTGGTGGCTTGTTTCTTCACTTTCCCTCTATCTGTCAATCTTTCTGGTGAGTGCACATGCCCTATAGCAATTTTTATTTTTTTTGAAGAGGTTTTTGCTTTAGGGCGTGTGCGTTCACCAGACAGACAGAGACAGAGACAGAAAGCGAGAAATCACCCCCCAGGGGGGATGGCCACCCCGCAATCCCTTCTCCTCCATTCTCCTCTCGGGACCTTGGGCACGTATGCACACATGCCCGGCGTGAGTTTTAAGCCACCGGGTCTGGGATGTGAACCACGGTTGACTACATGGATCAGCAGATAACATACTGATTGTGCCCCGCTGGACTCCACATAGTCAACTGCAGTTTGTGTTCTGGACCCAGCAGCTTAAACTCATGCTAGGCATGTGTGCGTGCGTGCGCAAGATCCTGAGAGGAAAATAGAGAAGGGATTGCAGTGTGGCCATCCTCTTGGCGGGGGGCGGGTTGGGGCAGGTGATTTCTGTCTCTCTTTCTGGCGAGCACACATGCTCTACAGCAAAAACCTCTCCCAAAGGAAAAAAAAAAACATGAAATTTAAAAAGATCATAACATTTTAAAAAATTATATATTTAATTAAGATTTTTATCCATAGGGTGCATGCACTCAGCAGAGAGAGAGGGAAAGTGACAAAAACCCCTGGGGTAAGGGGGTGGATGGGATGGCCATGCTGCAGTCCTTTCTCTTGAGATTTTGGTCCCATGCACATGAACCTGGCATGATTTTCAAGCTGCCAGGTCTGGGACTTGAACAGAGGTTGACCATGTGGGAGTCCAGCTCCTTGACCGCCACACCACCTGCTGGCCTGAGGAAGACATTTTTAAACCTTTTTTATTTTAAGACTTTTTTTTTTTGCCATAAGGCATGTGTGCTATTGGAGAGAAAGAGAAGGAAAGTGAGAAATCACACCCCCCGGGGGGGGAGGGATGCTTAAAACTTAATCTCTTTTCCATTCTCCTCTCAGGATTTTGGGCACAAATGTACATGTATCTGGTGTTAAATCTCACCTTGAAAAGAGGAAACAGGACCATCAGTTAGCATAATGGCTATGTCACTGGACTCCCATGTAGTCGACCGCGGTTCGCGTCCCGGACCCGGTGGCTTAAAACTTACCCCGGGTGCGTGTGCGTGCTTGCCCAAGATCCTGAGAGGAGAATGGAGGAGAAGGGATTGTGGCTTGGCCATCCCCCCTGGGGGGTGATTTCTTGCTTTCTGTCTCTCTGTCTCTTTCTGTCTGTCTGGCGAGCGCACGCGCCCTGTAAGCAAAAACCTCTCAAAAAGAAAAAAAAAAAAGAGGAAACTGAAGCACGGACTGGTTAAATAGCTTTCCCAAGGTCACAGATCCAGTAAGAAGTAGAGGTAGAATTCAAACCCAGGCAGCCGGGCCTGGTTCCAGAGCTCATGGCCTAACCACTGTGCCGTCTTGCCTGCCTTATCAGAGGCCCCGGGTCTCGGTACACCACAGCACTGAGGGATGAGGGGATGTATTTGGATTGTGTTAGTTCGAGCTGTATCTGAATTCGACTCAGTGAGGCCTTCCCAGGTCTCAGGGCAGCCTGTCTCCTCAGCACTGAGTTTCACCTCAGCCATTTCCTGTTAGGTTAGAAGGCCCCACTTTGCCTGGCATGGCTGAATAATAAACTAAGTCGCTCTCCCAGTGCTGGGAGATGGAGGGTTTTCGCAGGCAGGACGTCTTCACCCTAGGTCTAGGGAGGCACAGAAAGTTACCCGCACTTAGACCCATAGACTCGTGCCGGGCACTCAAATAGACTTCTACTAAAACAGTCCCTTCTGGGCCTGTCCTTTTTCTCGCCATTTCCATCTGCACAGGGGAGAAGCTGCTGGAAGGTCAAGTGATCCAGCTCGAGGACGGGACCACTGCGTATATTCACCAGGTGACAGTGCAGAAAGGTGAGGGCGCCCAACACACCCCTGTCTCGTGGAGGGAGGCCTGGCAGCCCCAGCGAGGGCCCCCTCTGTGGTAAGGAGCTCCAGAAAGACGCATTGCTTTCGTTGCAGAAGCGCTCTCCTTTGAAGATGGACAGGCTGTGCAGCTGGAAGATGGAAGCATGGCCTACATCCACCGCACACCCAAAGGTGGGGTCACGGTCGTCACCACCAGTGGGGAATGACGTGAGGCAGAGCTGGCAGAGGTTGGGGGATGGAGTGGCACACAGTGGGGGCTGGGGTATAGACACAGGCCCTGCTGTCCCCAGGTTACTCGTGTGCTCGCCCGAGTTACCAGCCTGGCATACTCTCTCTGGTGTAGACCACAGGAGCAGCTGTTCCTGCCATTGGGAGGCTGAGCCTGGGGGTTCAGTAATGTGGCCTTAATGCTGGTTTTGGCACCAGCACAGGCACAAAGCCTTTGGGCTTTAGCTAGGACCTGAGGAGGTCATGCGGGACAGGGCGGCAACACTTACCAACATGTAAGAGTGAAGCTGCTGAGGTCCCGGAGAATAGCACTGGGTTCCTCCTACTCGTTTCTGGAGTGACTGTTCTTTGCCAGGCATTGCGCTAGGTACAGAGTGCACAGGGAGAGCAAAGGCGCAGCACTGCTCTCCTGGAGTCTAGTGAGGGGCAGGAGCGAGGCAGCCGCCACCACGAACTGCATGTGCAGCTCTAGAGCGGGGAAGAAAGACTGGCATGTTCAAGAAATTGCTAGGAGCTGGAGTACTGGGAGCAAGGGCAGGATGCGTAAGATGGGTCAAAAGAGACAGGCAGGGCCCGAGTGTGTGGGCTGGACTTGTCAGGATGAGGACCGTCCACCTGATCCTAAGATGGGTGCAAGTAAGTGAACTGTCTAGACAGCTGAGTGACAGTCCCATTTGCATCCAGCAGAGGTCTCTGGATGCTGTGCTGCCCACTGGGAACTTGAGGGGGTGAAGGTCAGGAGGCTCTTGGGGTCGTCTAGGCCAAGGTGATGATTGTCCCCTGTCAGGTCAAGGAGCTTGGATTTCCCAAACAATCCTCCATAGGAGACCTCATCCTTAGGAGAGGCAGCCCCAGAAGGAGGGCCAGCAAGAGGGACTCACCAAGGAGCAGGGCCAGGAAAGACTCAGCTGTTAACCCTCCTGGCGTAGGTACCTGTCATTCACTTGAAGCCAGGGTCTCCTTGGCCTCCCCTGGCAGCAGGGCCAACTGCACGTTCCTTGCAGAGGGCTATGACCCCAGTGCCCTGGAAGCCGTCCAGCTGGAAGACGGCTCCACTGCCTACATTCACCACCCTGTGGCTGTGCCGTCAGACAGCACCATCCTGGCCGTGCAGACCGAGGTGGGCCTGGAAGACCTGGCGACAGAGGACGACGAGGGCTTCAGCGCAGACACGGTGGTCGCCCTGGAACAGTATGCCAGCAAGGTGAGCATGCGAGGCGGCGTGCTGCCCATCGCTTTCTAGCAGGCCTCCCCTGCCCCGCCTCGTGGCCCTGCCAGGAGGCCACCTCTCTAGAGGACAGGGCAGCCTGTGCTTGGGCCTAGCCTGGGCTGCTCCCTTGGCCCCTCCACCCCAGCTCCCCCGACTGACCTGTCACAGGCCGTCCTCCAGGTGTGCGTCACAGCCCGGCAGGGGCGCTTAGCTGTTTACACTCACCCTTGCCAGTGCGACCTCTGCAGAAGGAAAGCTGCTGTCTCCGAAATAAAGAAAAAAGATAGATGTAGTATTATCCTTATTTGATTATCGTACACTGCGTGCATGGTCTGTATTATACCGCACAAAGATGTACAGTAATTAAATAAATGATAAAATGGAAGGATGAAAACAAGAAGGAACGAGTCCATGACATCGCACGCTGAGAAGTTCGCCCGGTTTTGCTTTGACGCTGTCGTCTTCCTCTGTGCTATCTGGAAAGGCCCTTGCCAGTGACTTTCATTGGTTCCCAGTCCACGAGGGTCAGGTCCTCTTGTACTCAGTTCTCTGCAGCTCATTTCGTCACTTGGGAAATGAGCTCAGTAGGCCATGACGAGGGCGCATGCAACAGAGCAGCTGCGGTTCCTGGAATCAGAGGCCCACTGTCACTCAGCTGAAAGGAGGAGGGGTCCTGGCTCTCCACCGTCAGTCAGTCCCAGCTCTCTGATGGAGCTGTGGTCCTACCTGTGAGGAAACTGGGCTACAGGAACTTAGGAGCTTTCCGAAGTAGGGTGCTCCCTCCCTGGGCTAGAATGCAGAAGCTCAGGGTAGATGTGGCAGAGCTCCCCAAAACACCACTCTTACCCAAAGGCTTTTTTTATTTTTAAAGAATTCTTTTATTTAACTTTATTTATTTATTTTAACTTGACCAGAGAGGAACAGAGTGAGAAGGAAAGTAAGAAAGCAAGCTTCCAGGTCTGGGTCTTGAACCACAGTCGGCCATGTGGGAGTACAGCACCCTTAACCACCACGCCACCTGCCAGTCCTCAAAGACTGTTTTTATAATACCTAAAACTAGAGTGGCTGTGATAGAAGAAAGGAGGGAATCCTTGTATCTTTTCAAAATGAGGCATAACGGCCAGCCACTGTGGTACCTAAGCCACTGTGCTCAGCAGTCTGGGACCACTTCGGGGACCCAGGTCCAGTCCTAGCCCAGCCTAAAGGCCAGGCGTGGTAATGCACCCAGAACCCCAGCAACTGAGGATGCTGCAATAGGACCATAAGCCTGAGTTTGGCCTAGGCAACATGAAACGACCCTGTCTGAAAAGGAACTGGGTTTGGTGGCGTATGTCTGTAGTCCCAGCAGGAGGCAGAGGGAGGAGGATCCTGACATGGCAGGACCCTGTCTTAACATTTTTTTGAGGAGGGCCAGCAGGTGGTCCGGTGGCTAAGGCAGCTGGATCCCATATGACCAACTGTGGCTAGTGATCCAGACCCAGTGGTTTGAAAAACATGCTGGGTACATGTGCATTTATACTCCATATCTCAAGAGGAAAACGGAGGGGAAAGGATTGCAGTGAGGCCATCCCCTCGGGTGGGTGGGTTGGGTGACTTCTCACTAAAAGTGCATCTTAGAAAACTTTCAAAGAAAACATTTTGAAAGAAACACCTAACTTTAGAGCAGGCCACTTAGGGCTATGGCCACTTCCACCCTTGTTCCCTGAGGTGTGTTTTAGAAACCAGACTTGAGACTCGCTGCCAGTAGAGAGGGAACGGGGCTTCATTTTGATCTTAAACCCTGAGATCTGTGTGGCTTGCTCCTCCCAGATCTCAGCTCGCCCCGATAGGACAGGATGGGACCAGGTGACCTCAGGCCGTGCTCAGCACTGGTACCCTTGACTTTTTGGACTAGAGACGACCAGGGAGCTAATGAGACTTGGGGATGAAATCTTAGTGCCTGCGGGGGTAAGTCCTCTGGGCAGGCCACTGTGATTCCCCCACCAGCCCCTCGCCGCCTAACTACCTATGAGACGGTCAGCTGCCTGGACCCCTGACCTGGGGCCTGACTAGATGGCCTTTGTCTCGCATTTGGCTTCATCCCTTCATTCCCTCCTCACTGGGACTTCCAGAGTTCTGTTTCAGGAGCTCCCGGAAAGGTCAGTGTGATCCCACAGCATCCCAGTAAGAAAGGAGCCTGCTTAGCGAGGCAGAAGAGCAGCTAGAGCTCCTTGTGGCCAGAGGCTGGAGTAAGACAGGTGGCTCCCAGGCCCAGCGGATGGCCTAATGGTTACATCACTGGACTCCCACCTGGCTGACTGCAGTTTGAATCTCAGACCCGATGGCTTGACACTCACGCTGGGCACATGTGGATGTGTGCCCAAAGTCCCCAGAGGAAAATGGAGAAGGGACTGTGGTGGCCATCCCCCTAGAGGGTGATTTCTCTCTCTATCTCTCTGTCTCTAATAAGCACACGTGCCCTTTAGCAGCAATCTCTCTGAAAAGGAACGATGGGTGGCTCTAGCAGTGTGCCCAGGAAAGGAGGAAAGAGGGGAGGACCTACCACTGAGCACTGGTTAAAGCTGAGACGTCCAGTGGCCGCCCACAGCCCCCTCTCCTGGGCACTTCTGGTCATGACCACCTCACTCTGGGCTCCATCCTGCTGGGCGAACCTGAGACTCACCTGACAGAAGCCCCTTGGTAATGCCCTTCAGAGGGTGCAGGCATCAAGAATGGTGGCCTTTTAGGTGTGTATAAATAAAAGGAGGTGGAGCCAGGTGGTGGTGCAACAGTAAATACAACGCTCTGCAAGGCAGTCCCACACGGGAGGGTTTCCAGTTCTAGTCCAGGGACCTGAGTACCCCAGGTACACACGTGCCTGTGATTCAGCGCTGGATAACAGCCGGGCGTGGAGCTCTGCTCAAGACCCTGTCGCGGGTGCTGTCTCTCACTCTGGGCAGATATGCATAAATAAAACTTAGGATGGGGGCTGGCAAGTGGCATGGTGGTTAAGGGCGCTGGACTCCCACATGGCCGACCATGGTTCAAGTCTCGGACATGGTGGCTTGCTTTCTCACTTCCTCTCTCTCTCTGTGTCTCTCTCTGATCAAACTGGAAAATAACAATGATAATAATAATAAATAAAGTTAAATAAAATAATTCTTAAAAAAATAATGAATAAATAAATAAGGTTAATAAAATAATTATTAAAAAAAAAAAACTTAGGAGAGAAAAGAGGGGAGTGTTGCCACTCAGCCTCGCTTAAGTGTGGCCATTCAGACAACACCCTCCCCTACCTATCTTCAGTAGCTGTCACAACCCCTGTGACCTTTCGTCTTCTCACTGTCCATCAGAGACCCTCCACATGCCCACCCTGTGGTGCAGTGTACCCGGCCTCTGTTCTCTGTCTGTGCGCGTCTGTCCCAGAGGCCCCAGGCAGGCTTGACCCAGCTGCCAGCCAGACCCTGTGTCCCACCGCTCTCCTCCCTTCATTGGGAAGAATACATGAACTGACCCAGAGACGTGTTCCTCAGGTTCTGCATGACAGCCAGGCTCCTCATAATGGCAAAGGGCAGCAGGTGGGAGACAGAGCATTCCGGTGTGGCTACAAGGGCTGTGGGCGTCTCTACACCACCGCTCATCACTTAAAGGTAAGGCCACTGGGGGGCGGCTTCTGCTCCAGCATCGTCGCTGCCAGGCTGTGCTTCTACCTCTCTGCTTTGGTTGGAACTGGTCCCTGCGCTTAAGTTGTGCGTGACCTGTTGGAGGGAAGAGGTCAGCATAGGCAGCTGTGACACACGTGGGCAGTGTAGGAGGGAGAGAATTGGGGCCCTCGGGAACTGGAGAGCCCAGGCCATACCCTTCCTCCCTCTGAATGATGTGACTGCTGGTCCCACAGGTGCATGAACGAGCTCATACGGGTGACCGTCCATACCGGTGTGACTTCCCCAGCTGTGGAAAGGCGTTTGCTACAGGTAACCTGCCTGAATGGAGACCCTCGATGGTCTGAGGGCAGACGGTTCTTGGTCAGCTTTGGGACACCCCCACAGGGAACCCGGCAGCAGGCTGTCTACATGAGAAACTACTGTCAGTGCTCTGCCGTGCAGGGTGCTCTGCCGGTGGAGGGCAGCACAGTCCAGGCCAGCCAAGGAGCTGGGTGGGCGGGGGCTGGTGGGGAGATCCCCGTGCCAGCTCTGACACTGCCAGCAGTGGACTGTTGGGTGGGCCGTGGCATCTCCCTGGGCTTTGTGTTCCCATCTGTGACAGGTGGACCTGCGGCCACATGCTCGGCAGGTCCCTTCTGTTGTGTTTGGGAATGGCTCCAGCTGCCCCCAGGAAGGAGGGCGAGTTGCTTTCCAGGCCTTCTTGTCTCCCAGGCAGGGGTGGGAGAGAGGCAGACCTGACTTCCTGAGATAAAGGAGGTCTGGAGCCTCACAGAGCATGACTTAAGGTGGTGAGCCTCCAAATGACGTGGGCGGTGGTAGATGAGAGCGCTGGCCTCACCCCTCCCTACCACACATGGACAGGCTATGGGCTGAAGAGCCACGTTCGCACCCACACTGGTGAGAAGCCATACAAGTGCCCAGAGGAGCTATGCAGCAAGGCCTTCAAGACCTCAGGAGACCTGCAGAAGCACGTCCGTACCCACACCGGTATGCTGGGCCCTGTAGTCCTCCCTGTTCCCTGGGAGAGGGGGCTCACTTTTCAGACCGAGGCCTGGGCCTGGTGCCACCCTCTTCTAACTCAGCCCGGCCCCTTCCTCTCTGCACAGGCGAACGCCCATTCCGGTGCCCTTTCGAGGGCTGTGGCCGCTCCTTCACCACCTCCAACATCCGCAAGGTCCACGTGCGCACCCACACAGGCGAGCGGCCCTACACCTGCCCTGAGCCCCACTGTGGCCGCGGCTTCACCAGTGCCACCAACTACAAGAACCACGTGCGCATCCACACAGGTGGGCCGGCCAGCATGCGGGAGCCACCCCCTCCGAGGCCTCAGCCCCTCACCATAGGTTTCTGATCTGAGGCGCAGTCTCGACTCCCAGCCCAAGCCCCTCTCTGCCAGCCATTGCAGGCTGGTCTGGGTGGGGCAGCCCCTGAACCCTCTTACACGCAGTGAGTGGGTCTTCCATTAGGTCCAATCTAACAGGTATTGCCAGCCCCTCTGGGGTCCCTCGGCTCCCTGTCGCCCACCCTAAATTCTCCCCCTCCACTGAGCTCCTGAAAAGAGGCCAGAGTCAGGGATGATGGGAGGAAGAGAGAAACGCCACCAGCCCTCACCTGCGCTGTGCATGTGACTCCTGTGCCCTTGCCCTCCCAGGGCCACGTCCCCCATCACACTTGACACCGCCATCCCTCTCCTGCCTCTTCTCTTCCTC